GGTCATCCAGGAAAGTAGTGACGGAGATGAGACTAGAGAGAGACCCCTGAGCCGCCTTGGCTGTGCATGTCCTATCATGCCTTGCCAGAGGGGAAGGTGAAACATTGCCAGTGGACCCTAGGACTGGCGGCCTTGCCATTGCTGCTGAGGGCAGGGCAGGAGAACAGAGCCAACCGGTGGGAGGTGCCAAGGAATTTAAAGTCAGGCAAGGGAATGCAGCTGTTTTGAGGGGCACCCAGAACTGCTGGCATGCTGAGGGGTCTCTTTCCTTCTTAGTCACCTTGTGTTTCTTCCTGCCTCTGTCCCAGGTTGGTGCCTGCTCACCCAGCCCTGGTCAATGCCATTGTCCTCGTTCTGCACTCGGTGGCGGGTAGCACCCCACTGCCAGGAGCTGACTCCTCTTCGAGGAGCATGCCCTCCAGCTCGTACCGGGACATGCCAGGTAGGCCCCAGAAAGCGTAACGTAGGCCCCCTCGGGAGTCGGCTGTGGCCCAGGGATTTGCTTTACTCAGCAGCTATGTATAGCGCTGGCAGAGGGCGTTCCTCGGGAACTCTCGGTTTGAGTCAGGGAGTGCATCTGTCCTGTAATTTTCCAAGGGGAGAGATGAAAATGTGAATTTGGAGAGTATCTGAACTGAGATTCTGGAGCTACGCCTGTGCCTTTCTGTTCTTCCTCCCGAAATCTGTTCTCCCTCCTCCAGGTGGCTTCCTGTTTGAAGGGCTCTCTGACGATGAGGACGACTTTCACCCAGTAAGTGGCCTGGCTGCTTGCCATTTAGAGGAGATGGTGCCAGGGATGCGCCTCTCCCTGGGACTTGGCACACCCAAGCCGGGGGGTGGTCTTAACCCCTCTGGTGGCCAATCTATGTCATACTATTCCTTTCTGAACCTGGCAGCTTGGGGAGGCTCCTTCGGTTCCTGCCGCGGGGGCGGGGTTCATCTGGGAATGTCTCAGTGCCACTTCCCTGATCCTGGGCACCTCCCTTCTCCAGACCTCCAGGTCCACGCCTTCTAGCAGCACACCCAGCTCCCGCCCAGCCTCCCTGGGGTACAGTGGAGCTGCTGGCCCCCGGCCCATTACCCAGAGCGAGCTGGCCACTGCCCTGGCCCTGGCCAGCACTCCGGAGAGCAGCTCTCACACGCCAACTCCTGGCACCCAGGTATGAAGATGGGGGCCGGGCCCCCAGGGGAGAAGTTCCCCAGCAGTACAGTGGGTTTACCTTTGCTGACCCTGGTGCTAGATCTGGTTTGAGCTGAAGTCTTCCTGGAACCCTGGTGGGGTTCTCACTGCAGCCCGGTCACCCTCTCCCTGACTTGCCTTTAGGGCTTAGCATCCGGGGTGCAGTACAGTCCAGAATTCCTCCCCTCGTCGTTCAGAACCTCCCCTCGCGTAGTGTGCCCTTCCTCATCCTTGACAGGTCTCAGCCGTCACCGGCTTAAGCGTTCCTGGTAATGGTCACTCTAGCTGCCAAGGCCATCTCTCCCAATGCTGCGGTCCTAGGCTAGGTCAGAGGCTCAGTTCCATTTCCCTGGGCAGAAGAGGATGGAATCTTTTCTGGCCTCAGCGAGCTTTTAGGCACCCCTGTGTGGTTGTCCCATGTAGGTGTCTATTGGGAGGCAGTAGCTGGGTACCCCAGGGACCCACGATGGGGTGCCGTGACGGTCTCATGTATGTACTGGAAGATTGAGGTGTCTCTGAGGGTGGCACTAACCACTGATTTGTCTCTAGGGCCATTCCTCAGGGACCTCACCAATGTCCTCTGGTGTCCAGTCAGGGACACCCATCACCAACGATCTCTTCAGCCAAGCCCTACAGCACGCTCTGCAGGCCTCTGGGCAGCCCAGCCTTCAGGTCAGTTTTCCCCACTCCGGTATCCATGCAGCTGCCTGGTTACTTTGAATACGGAGCTTCTTTCTGCTCTCTAGAGGGCCTTCTTCGCTCTAGGAACAGCTGGTGCCTGGCAGTGTGACAGGAGAGGATGCTCCCAGCAAGGGCAGTTTTCCCTGTGGCTTCCACTCCTGCACCCTGTGGCCCTGGCCTGACTCCACTGACTGTGTGGCTGGGACACTTAATGGCCGTTTTAGTCAAAGAGTCATTCATTCATTCCGTGAGCATTGACTGAGTATTGAGTACTGAAATACCAGATCTGGGTCCAGCTCCTGGGGCAGAGGTGAGCCATCATCATCTCTGCCGTGGAGGGGTACCAGGAGATTGAAACGGGAGCAGTAGAGCGAGAAGCCCGGCCCAGGCTTCGAGTGAGGGCCTGGTCAGGCAGAACTTTTCTGAGGAAGGAGCGTTTGAACTGATTATCAAAGAATTGGTTAGAGGTTAGCCAGACAGGAAAGGGGTATTTGGGAGGATGGTGTCCAGGTACAGGCAGCCACCTGTTGGAGCAAATGTGTGGAGGTACATGTGACATCCCCGGGCCTGCAAGGCCAGAAGGCAGTGTCCTCATGGAAAAGATCCTCAGACGGAGCCAGAGAACAGGGGAGCAGGACCCTGAGTGTGACAGCCCTGAGTGTTTGAGGAAGGAGACCAGACTTGATCCTGTAGTCACCAGGGAGCCAAGGAAGGTTTCAGCAGGGAATGACACCATGGCTGCTCTGCTTCATAGAAAGGTCACTCGAGCAACTAAATGGAAGACCGTAGGAGCCAACGTTTTATTGCATATCTCTGTGCCTGAGCTGTCTGCTTCACTCTGTTTCCTTTGCTTTGTTTCCTTCACTCTGTTTCCAAACACTTTGTTTCCTTTGTTTCCTTCACTCTGTTTCCACTCTGTTTCCTGAGCCTGGGGGTGAATGTCATTTCTGGAATTGGTCCAGGGTCATATAGCCATCAAGTGGGAAAGACAGGGTTCAAGCTCCCGTGGTTTCCTCTAAACCTGTGTGGTCCCAGTGGACAGTGAGGGGAATAGGAGCAGGGTCCGTGGACAGCTTGTCTTTTCCATTCCTTCATCTTCCCCAGCTAGATGCCTGTTCACTCTGCTCTCCAGCTCAAGAGCTTTCACTGGCTCCACCTGACCAACCAAGTTGGTTTGTGTGGTTTTTGAAAGACCCTCCACACCTCACTGCCTGCCCATCTCTCTGAATTTGCATTTCATCCCCACTGCCTTCTTCCCACAAGTGAGCACATTGTCTTCCCTAAGTTGTGCACTTCCTCCTTCATGAAGTAGAGATATTGATAAAGCTTTGAAAGTACTAAAAGAAAATGTGGGGGGCGCCTGGGTGGTTCAGTCGGTTGAGCATCCGTCTTCGGCTCAGGTCATGATCTCACAGCTCGTGAGTTCAAGCCCTGCGTTGGGCTCTGTGCTGACAGCTCAGAGCCTGGAGCCTGCTTCGGATTCTGTGTCTCGCTCTCTCTCTGCCCCTCCCCTGCTCATGCTCTGTCTCTCTCTCTCTCTCTCTCTCTCTGTCAAAAATAAACATTAAAAAAACTTAAAAAAAAAAAAGATTTAAAAAAAAAGAAAGAAAGAAAATGTGGGTTAATTTCTTTAAACCCTTGTAGTGGAGAGGGCCTTTTGTAGCTGAGAGTCAAAATCCAGGAGCCATTACATAAAGAGTAATACATTCTGAGTTTGTAAAAGTGAAGATTTCTGCATAGGAAACCACACCAAACCAGAAGCAAAGACCAAAGGCCAACAACAAACAGGGAAAAAGTCTGTAACACATACCAGGCAAAACTTCCCTGGTGTGTAGAATTCTAGTAACTTAGGACCAACAACTCCATAGAAAAATGGGCAAAGGACAGGAACAGGCTCTTCATGGAAAGGAAGTGCTGATTAACGCCATGATTCCTTCCAGCCCCATTTCTTGGAATTTCTCCTGGAGTTATGTGTGTGCATGTAGAAAATGACATTTGTACAGAGGCCATCACTTTGGCATCGTTTGTAGTGGCGAAGGGTTGGAAACAGCTCAGTTATGGTACATTTCAAGACACGTATGAGTTGGAATATTGTACAGTTATTAAAAAGCTCTCTAGTGGCAAAGAGAGATCATCAGGCTACGTTAATTATGTTGGAAAAAAGGCAGGTGCTGAGGGTAGAACAGGGTCTAAGAAAAGAGTAGCTATGGGAATATATATTTGTATTTTCTCAAAGATAAGTAAAATAGGTTCTCTGGGGTGGGTATGGGAGTGGATAGAGGGAAACTTTTCACTATGCATCACACTCAAAAACAAAACTAATTTAAAAATGTACCCCCTCCCCCCATCTGTGTGTATGTGTCTGTCTGTCTATACATAGAGCAGGAGAAAGAAAGTAATTTAATTTTTTAAAATTTAGATAGTGAGTAATCTGTGCCTTCTTTTTTGATCCTTATGTTAAATTTTTCCTTTTTTAATTGGGAAAACTTCTCGTTTGTTCTCTAAACTCTCAAGGCCCTCTGGTAGTCTTCCTAGAAGCCCTGTGTTCTGCGGAACTTCACATCAGCGATTTTGCCTTAGGAACCGACCTTCGTCCCTCCCCCTGAGAGAGCAGACCCCAGCAAGTCTACTGAGGATCCCAGCTAACGGCTTCCGCTTGTCCTGTCTTTCTGCAGAGCCAGTGGCAGCCCCAGCTGCAGCAGCTGCGCGACATGGGCATCCAGGACGACGAGCTGAGCCTGCGGGCCCTGCAGGCCACTGGCGGCGACATCCAAGCGGCGCTGGAGCTCATCTTTGCCGGAGGAGCCCCGTGAACTCCTGCTCCTCCTGACCCCCCAGCAAACTGCCAAGGCGGCTGCCCGTGGGAGGCACTCCTGAAGGTGCCCCATCTCTCCTCTCCCCAATACATCTGATGGTCGACCTTCCGTCTTGTCCATTGCTTGGCCGTTCTGGCTGATCTGAGCTGGTGGAGGCAATGGGGCAAGCGTGGTGTGTGGGTCTTGGCGCCGTGGGATCAGGGATTGTGGCCTGCCCCTGCTTCTGAGCCCTGGGTGGAGAATTTTAGACCCACATCACGGGATGCTGTGTGATGCCCACATTCTCTTTTTTGGAGAAGTTTCCAGTGATAGCGCCAGGACCATTGGTACGTTGGGGTGTGGCAGCCTCAGGACATGCCCAAGGCTGGAGCAGAGCCGCCACCCAGCGTCCAGGGTGGCTGCTGTGGCGGCTGTGGCCAGAAGAGGCCTGCGCTTCTGAGATGACCCCAGTCTGAGGAGTGGCCAGGTGTCCTTTTACTGTGAGCGGGTAGGGCAGCTCTCCTTCCCACAGGCTCCCACAAGATTCCGTATTCCTCCCCTGGCCTCCTCTCGCCAGGGAGTCTTTGATGCCTATTCTGTAACCACGCCAGACTCTGGGCCTCAGAGCTGTGCCAGGAGGCAGGGCCCTCTTCTCTGTCCTCAAGGCGTAAATACAAGAGCAGTTAAATAACAATACTAAACAACAACACCAACACGAACAGGGCTCAGCTTTCATCTTGAAGAGAGGGCACCAACCCCCAAGCTGCCGCTCCATCTGCCCGAGCTCTCGTTCCCCTTGGCACAGTGTTTTCTACTGCGTCGCAGACACGTCCAAGTTGAGCGAGTGGGTTTCGTGTGCTCTGAATACTTTGTCAGGAAAAGATCCTTCCCCTCAGATGGTGTTTCAGTGGAAAGGAGCTCAGGTCTGCGCCTGCCCTGTGCCTTAGGCAGACGTCCTGCCCACAGCATCCACCGTCCTGGTCATTCAGCCTCTGCTTGTCACTTCCTGGGACAAGAGGTCTACCACTGATAAGGACTGCCTCTTCTGTCCTTTGGTCCCATCTCTGCCCCGAGGGAGCACACAGACAAGCCTGCTGCCCTCTCTGCTCTGTTAGTGTGGCTTTAGTTAGGGAGAGGGGTGACAATTCACTTGCCCCTTTGGCCTGTGCTGGTTTTGGTGCCTCGCACATCCTGTTCTCCATGAATGACTTCCTTATCAGTGATGCTCTTAAGAGGAGGCGCTCAGGAGACCCCCTGTTCTAGATATGGCCTGAGTAGCATAGTGTTCTGTCCCTCCTCCAGAAACTGTGAAGTCTTGCCACATTTCCCTCTCCATCCTAGAATTAATGTTGAGAGGTGTTTGCATTTGCTGCAAAGGCTTGGAACTTACCAGGCTTCTTGGTGCTGGGCCTCTTTTGGGCCTCAGTGGTCTACCTGGAGCCCAGCTGCCTCCTTGTGGGTGGGAACAAAGACCAAGAAGGAAGCTCTCTGTCTTTTCACCCAACGTCTCTGGCTTGTCTGTGGTAGAAACAGAGGTCATTTCCAGCCACATGGGACCACTTGCTGACACAGCCCTTCTCCCCATGACACTGCATGCCTAGAGCTAGTTTCCATTCTGTGGCCACTCATACCCTGACCCTGGGGACTGCCATCACAAGCACTGGGGCTCAACTCTCCCACACCATCATGCTGGGGGACATTTGAGTAACCCTGCCCTGTCCCTGGAACTGACCCCCCAAATACCAGTTGCACTGTTTCCAAGAATTGAACCGTTTCCACGATTTCCCCTTCCCTTCTTTGTCAGCTCTTTCCTCCTAGGTCTTGGCAAGTTGGCTTTACTTCCTGTGGCCATGTTTTAAATAATATATGTTGAGTCTGATAAGCGCCCGCACAGAGCCTGGGGCTTTCCACGGGCCAAGGACTCCTTCCTCACCATTGTTCCCTTTACTCTCCCAAAAAACATTCGTTCAGCCTCTGCTCTGTGCCAGGTAAACCTGATGGGGTCCTTGCTGTCACAGAGCCACATCATTGGGAAGACAGAAAAACAGATGTTTACACTAAAGCCTGATGACAGGCAGACGAGGCAGGTCCCCATAGAAAGGGGAGAAAGGGTCCCCATAGAAAGGGTTAGGGTGGGGGTGTGTGAGTGAGGGAGAGCTTCTTGGAGAGAGTGGTGTCTGACTTGAGAGCTGAGGGGGAGGAGGAGTTGGGCAGGAAAGTGGATGTGCTGAGAGGGCCAGAAGCAGGGAGAATACAGCTCCTGTAGCCCTGTGTGGCAGGGTGGATTTTTGAGGTAGGCAGAGGCTGGATCCTTTTAAGCCATGTATAAAGAGTTTGGACTTCCCTTAAGAACACTGGGAGTCACAGGAGATTTTGAGTCCAGGGAGAGTGAGGTTTGCATTGTAGATAGGTCACTGGCTGCTGTGTGTGAACAGGTGGAGAGTGGGGCAGGCTTGAGGCAGGGAGGCCAGTGAGGAAGCTGTGATCCACTAAGCACTGACCGTGGGCTCACCTGGCAGTCTGGCCGTGTAGAAGGGGGGGCGGGTGGAGAGCCATTTGAGGACTTAGCATTCACATGGCCTCTTGGGAAAGGTGAGCGTTACTTAATTAGCCCCGGTTTTCAGGTGAGGACACAGGGGCTTGAGAGGTGAGGTCATCTGTCCACAATCGCAGTTAGGCATTGGACAAGTTGGCCTCAGGAACTCAGGTCTGTCTTGCTCCAAAGCTGGTGCACTTCCCACTGCTGCTCCTGGCTGGTGGGTGCAGAGGGGTGGGAGGCGGTGCAGGGGCTGACCAGGTGGAGGAGCTCGGGCTTTATCCTAAAGGCAGAGAGCACCCTTTGGATGGCTTTAGGCAGGCCAGTTGGGGGGTGGGGGAGGGTGGGGGGCGGGGACCAAATTCTCGTGAGGTAACCTGACAGCTGTGTGGAGGCTGGATTTGTGGGAAGTGAGATTGGCAGTGGGAGACCAGCTCGGCGGCTCAGCGGCTTGCTGCCTGCAGATGGGACTAGAGCCGCAGCAGGGGGGCTGGGTGGAGGGGAGGGATGTGAGATGTGAAAGACAGACTAGATGTGGGGACGAGGGAGACGGAGAAGGTGGTGGGGCGTGAGTGGGTAGATGGTGGTGCGGCCAGAATAAGAGATCGGGGGTTGGCTTTGGAATGCAGGGCCAGTTTGGGACACGTTGGGCTCACGGTGCCATGGGACAGTCAGGTGGGGGTGTCTTGTAGAACAGTGGGTGTTTCTTAAGTTGGAGATAATGATCAGGGAGTCTTGGGTTGAAGACTCTGCTTGTGTCCTGTGAGAAGGGAATTCAACTTTTCAGGGATGGGTAGCAGCCAAGGGACACCCACTAAGGAGTTAGACTTTATAGGGATGGTGACTGGTGACCATGGAACACAGAAGGGGGCGGTCTCTGCCGCTTCTGGGAAGGTGAGACCATGAGTCATCAAAGCTGCCAGAATGGCACTGGACAAAGAGGGCACGGTCAGTTTGGTGAGCTCTGTGGAGAGACCTTAGCAGCCAGGGCTGACCTTGGACTTGCTGACTTGAGCCATGGTGACCTTGCGGAAACGTTATAGTGGAACCAGAAAACAGTGGCAGGGGTTGAGGCCTGAATAGGTGGGGGCAGCAGAGGCAGGGAGGGCAGAGAACTCTGGAGAACCTTGCCTGCAGGAGGGTAGCTGGAGGGGAGATAGTTGGCAGTTGGAAGGGAGATGGGACTGAGAGTGAGCTTTTGCAGTTCAGCAGAGGTGAAGTTGGAATTGATCACGAGAACTTTTCTAGGAAGCTAAGGGAAAAAAAAGGAAAAGACCCCAAAATAGAATATGTAAATATGCAGAGATGGGTGAGTTTTCTGAGCAGATCCCTTCTCCTGATATAACTCAAATTTGGCTGGGCTGGCATGGGCTGGGCTGGCACAGCTTGCTGGGCACATGGGCCCCGGTTCTGCTCCTCGCCTCAGCCCCATCTGGCCTGGGCCCCAGACCAAGCTCTCAGAGCCCTACCCTGAGCTGGCCTCTTGTCACTTCTGCCACGGGCCGTGGCATTGAACGTTTGGTGAGAACGTTGGGGGTTATTTAGGCCTCCGTGTGCTTACCCAGCCTCCCCGAGCCCCCTGTGGGTCTGGGTGGGGGTTAGGTCGGCTTGGCTCTGCCCCTGTGTCCCTGGGCCCGCCCTGTCTGGCTCCTTCAGGCTCTGCAGTTGCCGGTGACAGCATTCAGCTCCCTGTATGCTTGCAATGCCTTGTGCAGAGACCCAGGCACTGCCCTGCTGTACCTTGGCAAAGTGGCTGACAGCAGTGCAGTAGGGCAGTACTCGTCTATTAACCCTGTCTGTGCCAGTCATTGAGCTGGGTACACACATATGCCATCTCGGCTGAACCTCCTAACAACCCAGAGAGGTAGATACTACCCCATTTACTGATGAGGGCTTCCTCGTGTAACAGGATGTGGCTGTGCTGGGAAACTGGCCCTTTCTAGGACTGGGGTGGGATTGTATCCGCACGATTCCGTCAGTGTGCACACGTGGGGCCTGGCTGCCAGACCTGGAAGCCACTCGGAGGCACATCCCTCCAGGAAGCGGCAGCTTGGGTCTTCGAGGGGAATCAATCTTCTGAGTCAGATGGGCTGAGAGTTAGGTCTTCTCCACAGACAGCCTAACCTCTTGGAGCCTCGCTCATGTCCTGTTTGACATTTCCTCTCAGTTTGTAGAGGTAGATATTGACAGGGTGTAAAGCAGAGATGGAAGGGCACTCAGAGCTGGACTGGTGAGTGTTCTAGATGACTGATGGAGTCAGGGACAACCCTAACAAGAGGGACAGGAATAGGGACAACCTGAGGTCCTGTGGTGGGGACTAGAAAACCAATTGTTCTCATGAAGGATGGGTTCTCATTCCCCGCCCCCCCC